CGCTTTTGATAAAAATAGACGGGAACGTTTATTTAGGGCAGAAACTCTCTTTAATTTGAAATATCGTTTTTTAGCATGAACACTATCATTTAGTGTAAATACGCTCTTAAGTATAAAATATTGTTAATTTAACAAAATACACGTATTCGATGCAAAAATGTTTTTATTAGGGATATAGCGTTTCCTTAAACATACATCTATACTTACCTAGATGCGTTTTTTTAGTAGTGTCTATTGACATAAAACCGTGAGGTTCCGCCCAACACTTTTTACACATGCCTTCAAACTCTTGGTACATCATATCGGATCCAACGAAGTCGTTGTATATCTTTTGTGTATAAGTGTTTGGTCTGTGTGAATATACACAAAAGATTAACGTTATTCCTTATTACTTGCATGTCTACCCGCCCGTAGCTCTGACTCAAATAAATGCAAGATACCTGTTTATGACGCCCTCATATGAAATAGTCTTTTATTTTTGTTTGTTCTTCTAAAAGGCAATCGTCAAACACCACCAAAGAGTTGGACTTACATTCGTCTAGAGGTATCAAGTCACTGCAGTTTGAGTAAAAGTATGCAATAGTTGCGCCGAGTGCGTGCTCTACTTTTTCATAGTGTTTACATAGCTGTGTGTATGCTGGCTGATCAATGGATCGGCTGAATACATAAAGGTTTTTGAACTTTACACCCTTTACGTTATAGATAAAATTGAGCAATAGGTTTGTTTTTCCACACCCTGATGAACTGACTATAAGACATCTTAATGGGTGTGGTAATAGATTATTTATGGATCCTTCTTCGATGCAGTACACATTAATATCCATTAGGACTTATATAAATCTAAAACTATTACACATTCAATGTTTTTGTTTTGAAGCAAGCGATTGTTTTGATCTCGGAGAGTGATGTCGATTCGGTTGATCGTTTCTAAACCATTCCTCAGAGGAACATACAACTTCTCCGTTGGCACTTCATATATCTTGTAGCCATGTACTACATTCAGGAAGAACGTGTACAACAGTTCTGCTTCCACATGTTTGTGTCTGTGCTCATCGTGGCTGATGTAACTGTGCTCTACGATGTTGCAGTGTACCTCTATGGCGTCCTCAGCCCTGAAATTGGGTGCGTTTGGAGCAACCAGAAACATATTGGCATCGTAAAACGAATTTTGTTCGGTTAATGGTTTCTCTCCTGGACTTGAGAATCCGAAGAACGAAGCCACCTTTTCGTCGAGATAAAATTTCAATGGACTTGTTATTGCGATACGATCGTTTGCCCTTTTGATTGAAAATTGGTTGGTAGGTACGTTAAGTTTCAGTGCAGTAATATATTCGTTGATTTTTTCATTTAGTTTTTCAATAGTCCAATATCATCTTCAGATCGTAAAAGGAGTCGGGATCAGATAAATATCGCTGTCCCAAAAATATATGTTACCCGGTTCTAACACGTTGTTTATGTAGTTCTCCGACATAAAGCTAACTAGAGCTAGTCGGCACTTGCTACCATCACTGAGGCGGATAGGGTGCTCCGGTAAAGGTATTATTGTCAAAATGAAGTAGGCCTACTTAATACCCAACAATGTTTGGAAGTGGTCTGGGATTGATATTTGAAAAAATGTAGAAAAAAGTTGGGGGGGGGCAATTAAAACTCATCCTGTATATATATAGAAAGAGAAAGTTTTAAGCTTTCTAAAATCACTTGGTTTTAATTTTTTTTCTACAAAATTTTATTTTTACATCTTCTGATCCCAATTACTCCGAGATCCCAATTACCCCTGTACACCCTACCCTAAATCTGAAAATTTTAAGGGAATATTTTAGTAGAAATCCAGCCAGGTAAATAGAAATTAGCTTAGTCTGCATGTTTGCTGTGGCGGAGGTATTAATATAGGCTATGTGGTTACGGATTAGGTTATTGTATATAAGTAGTACGGTACTATAATTTATTGTACAATAAGTTAGCCTACAATGGGTCATATTAAGTAGGCCTATGGTTAGATTAGTTTCCTTTAAGGCCTAACTTAGGCTGAGTCGTTTTTTTTTATTGAAGGGTGAATGCATTATGCACAAACCCAGGTGATACGGTGAGGAATTCATACCCACCAAACTCCTTAAGTTATGGGCCATAACGATCCAGGCTTGAACAGTTATCAGATGACTTAATGCCTGGAACTGTGTGCCTTAACCCTCCCAGTGTTACTTGACGAAAATTCGACAAGCAGCACACTTTGTGTAGTGTTACTTGTCGATTTTTCGACACGCAGACATCGTTCACGGCGAAGGCTCTATAACTGACTGAATCGGATTGAACTGGATCGAGTTAGGTATCGTTCTTTCCGTTATTTTCTAAGCTTTCTCCAGGTCTGTCTCTAAGCGCTGTATGGTCTCCGAGCCGATCGTAATTGTAGCAGACAGCTGACGTGCTTATTTGTAAATAGCTAGGTTACCCTCGGACCGATGACTGATGTGTTTTATTACATTTATCATAGTTTTAGTGTTAAAAATCAAAAGTAGTGATATACTTGGTGCATTATAAGAAGATTTAAGTGATTTTGAAGGGCTGGTTGATGATCCTGAAGAAGTAGGTAGTGATATTGATGTAAATTATCAGCCAGATTCCTAGCTATGGTTAGGCTATGCATTCTTAGCTAAACGCTATGTACTGAAATCTGTTTTTTGCCCATAACTTATTTATTTGCAAATCTACTTCCTTATATTATTATATATTTGTACCTCATAAAATTTAGAACAAAGTGGCTATTTTCAAATATTTATAGGCCTATAATTTATACAATTTCATTGAGCGCAAACTTATTTTTTTTTTGAAAATTTTCCAAAATATTTTTTTTTACCTAAAAATTTTTTTTGAAACAAATGTTCCTTATGTTTTATGTATAATATTGAAGCCCATGATTTTCCAAACAAAATGGTATATAGAACAGTAGAATTAACATTGTTTTAAGCTTCTCAGATCCGTTTTAATAAAACCTTGCAAATGCTCCAAAAATAGGCGGACATTAAGGCCTAAACTATGGACACTCGTAGGGTTAAACTTACAACCTCATAGATACTTTAGATAAACATAGGCCTAGGCCAAGAGTTTTTGTATGCAATCATATTAATTAGGTTGTATCATGTTAATTAAAATGTAAACGGGATATGATAAATTTACAGTAAGGCAAAACTTTTGACATACAGCTCCGTCCTAACTTAAGTTACAGTATTATCAAACATAAGTTATGGGCCATAACGATCCAGGCTTGAACAGTTATCAGATGACTTAATGCCTGGAACTGTGTGCCTTAACCCTCCCAGTGTTACTTGACGAAAATTCGACAAGCAGCACACTTTGTGTAGTGTTACTTGTCGATTTTTCGACACGCAGACATCGTTCACGGCGAAGGCTCTATAACTGACTGAATCGGATTGAACTGGATCGAGTTAGGTATCGTTCTTTCCGTTATTTTCTAAGCTTTCTCCAGGTCTGTCTCTAAGCGCTGTATGGTCTCCGAGCCGATCGTAATTGTAGCAGACAGCTGACGTGCTTATTTGTAAATAGCTAGGTTACCCTCGGACCGATGACTGATGTGTTTTATTACATTTATCATAGTTTTAGTGTTAAAAATCAAAAGTAGTGATATACTTGGTGCATTATAAGAAGATTTAAGTGATTTTGAAGGGCTGGTTGATGATCCTGAAGAAGTAGGTAGTGATATTGATGTAAATTATCAGCCAGATTCCTAGCTATGGTTAGGCTATGCATTCTTAGCTAAACGCTATGTACTGAAATCTGTTTTTTGCCCATAACTTATTTATTTGCAAATCTACTTCCTTATATTATTATATATTTGTACCTCATAAAATTTAGAACAAAGTGGCTATTTTCAAATATTTATAGGCCTATAATTTATACAATTTCATTGAGCGCAAACTTATTTTTTTTTTGAAAATTTTCCAAAATATTTTTTTTTACCTAAAAATTTTTTTTGAAACAAATGTTCCTTATGTTTTATGTATAATATTGAAGCCCATGATTTTCCAAACAAAATGGTATATAGAACAGTAGAATTAACATTGTTTTAAGCTTCTCAGATCCGTTTTAATAAAACCTTGCAAATGCTCCAAAAATAGGCGGACATTAAGGCCTAAACTATGGACACTCGTAGGGTTAAACTTACAACCTCATAGATACTTTAGATAAACATAGGCCTAGGCCAAGAGTTTTTGTATGCAATCATATTAATTAGGTTGTATCATGTTAATTAAAATGTAAACGGGATATGATAAATTTACAGTAAGGCAAAACTTTTGACATACAGCTCCGTCCTAACTTAAGTTACAGTATTATCAAACATAATGTAGGTATGGAAAAGATCAATGACCAAACATAGTCTTGAAACTTTCCATATTGAAAGCAACAATAAATAACTTAATGAGAAAGCATCGGAAAAATCAATGTTGCAGATTTAAAAGTAAACAAATAGGATAGGCCTACCAAAGTTTTACTGATAGCCTATGATTGTCTAAAGTTATAGATTGATGACTAAGTTAATACTTTTGGCTGCACTTTACTTGACGTCCTACACTCATTCGATAGTTTTTTCGATTCGATATTTTCATTCGATATATCGTTTGGTTAGTTAGGTTAGGTTAACCTTACCTAACTAACCAAACGATATATCGAATGAAGCAATCGATTAATCGATATATCGATCAATATTTTCATTCGAATGAGTGTAGGACGTCAAGTAAAGTGCAGCTATACTTTTTAATAGGTACTTTAATACTTTTAAATGAAATTCTACCAATGGTTCGTAGTTCGATGATGCAGTGGAGTAGGCTATCAATCCCCACTCTACACACACTGCCTTTAGGCTGAAAATAGAATTTTATAAGTAGCTAGCGACTAATAAACATACATTATTCCCTTTTACTAGCCTATAGCCTAGATGATAACTTAGGATTTCTTTACAAAAGGTCTTAGCCTAGGCCTAGGCCTACCTGGTTTTTTATACTGAAAAAATACAAAAACAAACAACACAATTATGACTAATCCCGAAACTGTTGCGAAAATCAATGTAAGATCCATGGTTCTCACAATTTTAACACTATTATTTAGCTTTAGTTTAAAAAATCTCTGTTATTTAATATAAATGGTTGTAATGATCCAAGCGAGGTTATGTATATACGAACACGACACTCAAGAAATTGCGGTGGGGCAGGGGCACACGGGAGGTAGCACTGCCATGGCAGAAGTCTGTCAAAAGCGTGTCGCTGATTTTGTTAGGTTGGTGTTGGTATAGCAGCGAGTTTTCTTATGATAGCAATAACATGGCTTCCATTACTAGGTTGCATAGCAGACTCGACGTTCTGTACCCACGAGCATCTCAGCTTCCACATGCACAGAAGGCCTTGGAACAGTTCCTAGGATAACAGGTATTTGTGTAATAGTTTCACCTTATATCTTTATTGGATCTGTTTCTGTTTAGATAGTTGTTTTTTTTTCAACAGTTACAGTTGCGAACTGTGCATTGTGATTTTGAAAAGGTGTTTATTCTTTAATCTTTACTGTTTGTTTACTTTTGACTTGAGCTGCTTGAAAAGGTGTTTACGCCACACTACATTATTTTGACGAACTTCCCATACGCAAGGATTTAGTCCAGAAAACAGCTGTATGCCGCCAGCTTATTTAAATGGGGTTTCATTGCGTACTACTGTACTGTAATGAGTTTTGCCGAACACCAATCAGCTGATTATACTATATTTAGGTGGCAATGAATTGTTATAAACAAAAACATAACCTCTCTTATAGAGGCTATGACTAGTGATTTTTAGCCCTTTAGGTGGTGAAAATATATTAGGATTTGTACAGATTTAGTAGTATGGCGTAAACTATCGTACGTAACTCGTCCAAAATGTGTGTACCGGACTCGTATGGTAATCCCGTACTCGACTTCGTCTCGCACGGGAACGACCACACTCGTCCGGTAAACACTTATTTTCAGGACTAGTAACGTATTATACTATTTATGATTATGAAAATTAACGTTTTGTGAGTGTGCTGAAGCTGATTTGTTATTAGGTATTGACAATTAGCCTAAATGTTTTGTGTGCATGAATTAATAATGAAGATTTAAATGTTTACTTAACCTATATTTTTCGGATTCCTTAAGAGAGAGTGATTGTTAGGTTAGGTGTTTGTTTGTGTGTGAATTTGTTAGATTGCAGTTTTGGTAGTGGTAGGTCTAAGTTAGCCTCTAAGGTAAACTTAACTTAGGCATACTCTTATTAATAGATAAGTTATTAATTTAACTTTTTCAAAGGCAATAACTTAGACCTAAACTCCACTGAAAGGCCCAACTAACTTAATCAAAATAAACCTAGACCTACCACTACCAAAACTCCAATCTAACAAAACAAATTCACACACAAACGCAACTCAACCTAACATTAACAATCACTCTTTCTTGAGGAATCCGAAAAAGATAGGTTAAGTGAACATTTAAAACTTCATAAATAATTCATGCACGCAAAATATTTAATTGTTAATACCTAATAACAAATAATCAGCCTCAGCTCACTCACAACATTTTAATTTTCATAATCACAAAACACCTTTTCAAGCAGCTTAAGTCAAAAATAAACAAACAGTAAAGAATAAACACCTTAAAATCACAATGCACAGTTCGCAACTGCAACTGTTGAAACGAAACAATTATCTAAACAGGTCCAATTAAAGTATACATACAGTGAAGCTATTACACAAATAGCTGTTATCCTGTGCATGTGGAAGCTGAGGTGCTCGTGGGTACAGAACGTCGAGTGCAAAGCAGTGAGTATTTTTATCCAATAACATGGCTTCCTTATAACTCACACCTCACGCAAACATGGCGGCTGGCGACACGCATCTTTGACATTCAGTGCTACCTCCAGTTAGAATTATAGCTCAGTGGGAGGGACGATGGCTAACTTTTTGTGTCAGCGGTCAGATTTTTTTTTGTACGGTTCTTCACCGTCGTGAAGTTGGTGACCATTTTATCACCCCCACAGTGTTGACAAAATATCGGTTCAATATCGTTTGTAGTCATATCGACCATCACTTGCTATCGATTATCGATTAAAACACACTAAAAGGACTTATGAAAATAAACAAAAATTATGAATTATTAATATTTAATTTAATACTAACGCCGGAATGTTAGTCTGCCTTTTATCCCTATTAACTTATATTTAACTTAAGGGTGTTTGGTCGCAAATTTTCATGTCTGATTTTTTGTTATTGTTTAATTGTACTAAAAATTAGAGATACAAATATATAAGAAAAAATGTTTTATTTTGAATATTAAGCGAGATATGGAGCTTGAAAGTAGTAAATTTTTAATCTTTGGTACCAGTTCACAGGGAGAATGGGTAATGCGATTCTCACCAAAATTTGCATTCAGGTGTGGAAAAATAAGATAATAATCACTAGATATTTAAAATTAAAAAAAATTAATAAAAAATTATTTTTTATTTTTTATAAATTTTTTAAAAAATTTTAAAAAAAATTTTAAAAAATTTAAAAATAGCTCTTTGTTTTTGGGAAAAATGTATCTGTATGTTGGAATAAAAAAAAATGTGATATGTTAACTCGTTTGGGCTGTGAATTCGTACCTTTGATGCCTTGCGCTGTCGGAGCACTACTCGTTGAGAGTTTGTACACTAACACCGGGGCTTTAGAATACTCTAACATCACGTAATTATTAACATCCTTTAACATTGAAAGAATACGTTTATCGTTGTATTCTAAAGCCCCGGTGTTAGTGTACACACTCTCAACGAGTAGTGCTCCGACAGCGCAAGGCATCAAATGTACGAATTCACAGCCCAAACGAGTTAACATATCACATTTTTTTTTATTCCAACATACAGATACATTTTTCCCAAAAACAAAGAGCTATTTTTAAATTTTTTTAAAATTTTTTTTAATTTTTTAAAAAAATTATAAAAAATAAAAAATAATTTTTTTTTTATTTTTTTTAATTTTAAATAGCTAGTGATTATTATCTTATTTTTCCACACCTGAATGCAAATTTTGGTGAGAATCGCATTACCCATTCTCCCTGTGAACTGGTACCAAAGATTGAAAATTTACTACTTTCAAGCTCCATATCTCGCTTAATATTCAAAATAAATAATTTTTTCTTATATATTTGTATCTCTAATTTTTAGTACAATTGAACAATAACAAAAAATAAGACATCAAATTTTTGACCAAACACCCTTAAATAACGCGTCTTGGGTATACCTAACCTTTTAAAATAATGATTTGACAACTAAGAATCTTTTGACCTTAAACACCAAGTAGGAAGCAAAATACGACGGGGTAGTTTGACTCGAAACTCAAGAGAAGGAACTATTTATTGTGTTGTACCAGTCCTCTTTTACACCCTTACCCACAAGCTAGCTAAAATAAAGCAAGTGAAAGTCTGTATCACATTACTAGGCTACTTTTGTCTTTTCGTAGTAGCAGCCTATTATTTTAAAGAATTTTCCAGCCACAAGGGTGATTAATATATTGCATATTTCAATAATTCACACGCTGGCTGGAACGAACCTGATAAAACTGATAATTACCTATCATTATTGTTATATATTAGTTCATAGAAAGTTTTAAAGTTAAAACCGTTTACGATAGGCCTATACGTTCTAATGAACCATCTCGGTGTTTATTTAATTAGGCCTAACTTGCTTCAATTATTTATTTGGCCTTTAAGCAATGCAATAGGCTATGTCACTCTCGATACAAAATAAATAATAAATAGTCCATCTTGACTCAAAAATGTGCTAAATAAATATTTCGATACACAACAGTGTCAGATGTAGGACCTCACTAACTGAACAATCCCACCCAACAGCAAAGTGAATATACACACATAACAATTCAGAATCATAAGTCATATATTTTGGATGTGCTAATAATAACTTAGGCTAGCCCAAGAAATATTTTTTATGATAGGTGTGCAATTTAGGAGGCGAGGATTGGCTTTGGCTTTGCTCTTGCTTGGCTTGGCGGGACATCAGCAGAAAACGGTCCCGATGGTTGGTTGTCAACTTTGATCACTGGTTTGGTTATCGAAAACGATCTGTTCGGTCGGTTTACAATCGATTGGTCGATATGGCTACGAAAAAATGTCAACACTGTGTTGGTGATAAAATGGGCACCCGTGAAGTTAGCGGGATCCCTTCAAGTAGGTAACCTTTCAAACTGGTGAAGGGACCTACCTGTCCGATATTGAAATCGGTCAGGTTGGTTACTTTTCAATTTGGTGAGGTAATGAACGCCCTCTTGCTCTTGTGGTGGGGGCATCGACTGCTCTCATTGGCTGCAAGGTTTCTGGGGGAGGGAGTAGTTGTTATGGGGTGAAGAGTGCTGCCAACCCAAAAGTCTGGAGCAATAAACATTCCCATACAAGGGTAATGTGCGTAATTCCGATATTTACGGCTACAAAGTAGGCAGTATAAATGCCGAAGGAAATTATAGACTATGTATAAAATATCTAGTTAGAACTTAAGTCCATCATCTTGCGAACCTGTTTCTCTCCATGCCCCTGGGTCACTGCTAGGCTACTTTCTCTTGTAACTAAATCTACAGTATTAACGGGTCAGATTTTATTAATTAACTAGCTGTTGCCGGTGGCATCGCCCGACATACTTTTTCGTCTTTTATTCTTTACTATAAGCCTGCTGAAGTTGTCACTGACTTCGCTACGGAACGGAACTACCGAAATGGAACAACTGAATGATGTTTTTACCAAAAATACTAAAGTATTCATATCTCCTTTCATTCATTATCATACTCCAAGCCAAATTTTCCAATGGTACAGTTAGTTTTCTCTAACTTTATTGAAAAGTATTTCAGATAGTCTAAAGTAGGATTAAAAGTAACACAAAAACATTATTTTATTTAGTGATATACTGTATATATAATGTTCCCCGTTACTGTCTCGGCATGCTCTTGATTTGATATTATTCTTGAATTTTGTTGTCCCTTCTGTACATTTAATAATTACTAGAGGGCCCATGCTACTCTACAACGTTGAAATGAAAATCATATTCGAGCAATAATCAAATTTATAAATTTTTATTGAGTATCTTGATCTTAACTGATTCAAACGATAAATAGCTCAAATTAAAACCTTTAATTAACTTACTATTTTGCGTCAAAAACATGAAAAAACATAAACAATAGTGGACCTATTGATTTTTAATCATAGAAAACCCTTATAAAAAAATAATTTATATGTTGGTTGTTCACATTGCAATTATTGCTTGTAGTCCGTCCGATTTGGATAACTAATTAATAGCTTCAATGGAAAGCCGGCATTTCACTGAAGGTTCTTAGACCAAAATATGTAGGATTATATAATTATAACTGGTGAAATGCATCTTAAATTGAAGTAAGAATTCGAAAAAGTTAAATAGATGTTTTTGGACGAGTAATACAGTAGATCAATATATATGCTGATGCTTAGAGTGAAATCTGTGCACACCTTCAATTAGAGACCTCAATCATGAAAATCGGTTAAATTTATTTTTAAATATAAGAAGATTGACTCTATTAACGTTTAACGAAAACTATCACCGTTTTACAACAAATTGTGTAGCAGTTCCGGTTAATGATAACAACCTAGACTGAATTGAAGCTTTAGAATAGAAGATTTCAAATGTTTACGGGAGCAAGCTCCTAAAATGTAATAATGTCGGTAGCTATACTTGCGATAGTACACTTGATAGGTTTTTAACAGCTTTTATTGATTTATGCATTATTATTATAAAATAAATAATGCTATTTAATAAAATAAAAGATTGGTAATCATATGGTTAAACGTACGGACACTGACTAGTTTTTAGGTGGCGGAACAAGCAAATTTTCACAGTTTATTTGAATGTAAACCTATTTTACTCGAAATATGTTTGAGATAGAAAAACACTCTTGAAATACAAAAGTTGTGGATAATTTAATTCTACACTACCGATCTTCCATAAGATTTAAGATCCAAGCATTGTAGCTTAAGTTACAGACCAAAATATAATATCTTGCATACTCGAATTTCTTCTTAAATAGATTTAATCCCCTAAACCACCCTTGAATTTAGAACTTTGCAAAACCCCCAACTTTGTACATCTACACCATATACATGGATTGTCGTCCCAATCCAAAATTTTATTATTCTAGGTCTTATATATGTTTTGAGATACATTATAGTGATCATTTGTCAGTGATATGCCAATCAATAAAGGTAGGTCAATGGAAAGCATTTATCTACGTGGTGATCGGATGCATAGCAGCTTCAAAACGGATACGTCACAAAATTCGTGTTTGCCTATTAAATATATTGGGTATCTATATTTAATATATAGATACCCAATATGCCTATAAACATTCAAACTTATCCGGGTCAGTTTGCTGCACACAAAATCCAACAAAGTCTTTTAATAATATAGATACTTATAAGGTTAAGGAAACTCCAGAACCACTTGGGTGGAACCCAAAAGTCAGATCAGGATAAAAACTACTTAGTTTTCCTATTTAATGCCTGAAGAATCAGTACACCAAATTTCAACGTTCTAAGTAGTCTGGAAGTTGGATTAGTAATAAATCATTGAGTGAGGGCAATTACTTTTGAGTGAGGGCTTTTACTTTTATATGTTAAGATTATTAGCTAAATATAACACATATGAAAGGTACAAAATAAAATCCATAAGTTAAATACAGTAGTAGAATATATAAAAACGGAGCTCCAGACAGAGCTCCCTTTAAAATTTGAAATAGGGGTTGCTGCAGACTTTTAATTTTATCCAGCGCGATTACGCCCCTGAATTTAGTGTTACTCCCTCAATATGACAACACTGTTGGATAAATCTAGCTCAGTGGGATAAATGCAGGGATGCATCAGGCACTTGTAGAGCGAAATTTCCCACAATTTCCATGTAACCGTTTGACTGGTTTTCAGGTTATGTGACAAAATCCAAAACACAATTGAACATAGGATGCACAATAAATCGGATGTGTTTACTTTTGGGCTATTGACTTAATTATTACATCAAGCAATTAAATGTATTCTGAACTTGTGTACCCGTTGCGAAATAGAGCGTACTATAGCTAGCCGCCATACCCGTGCTTCGCTAAAGGAGCGCTAAAGAGAATAATTTATTGTTATGTTCCATAGATCTGTTGTATGAAAAGTTAAATAACTCATAAAATAAATGCCTAACATTTGCTTTTAAAGCATCAATCGAATTATTTTCAAAAACGTGTTTTATATCAACTAGACAGCTAGATGTTATCCACGGGCTTCACCCCGTTCCGTTTGACTTCATAAGTATTAATAACACTATTGATTGGATAAGTTAAGTTAACTATGATAATCATTTAGCGTTGAACTTACTAAACAACATCACAGATGCAATTTACGGACTTGAGAGGCCATCAATTCTGGACCTGCCCTTCAGATTTTTGTAAAGAGTTTTATCGAAAAATTTGTTGTTAACAGCTATTTTTAATGTTCAAAAGTTACTTTGTTGTATTGCATTGCATATTTATCATGAAAACATCAAAAGAAATTTACAGATATTTTTAGTTGTACATATTCTTTAAAGGCATCAAGAGAGTTATCAAGATCCCTTAGTTCGCTGATGATATAAATCTGTTTGTGGAAAGTTGCTTCCCTCTATGATTATGAGTAATTTTGCCTTAGGCTTTTAATACTTTAATTTGAAATGGCAACCATACAAAGTAGGTATTTTAAGCCAAGTACCAGTATGCATGGAGATGAGTGTAGGATGGATGAGTGGCACGATTTTGTATCCTTGTTAGTGACTAAGGCTGACATATTCCTTAGACACAGCTGTCAATTAATAGCCCATACTTTGGGCTAATGGAAACTATAGGGACCTACAGTTTATAGTAGAATCCGAACCACATTTTTCCTTGGTATAAAAAAATTGGTCTAATTATCAGGATGTACTGCGGATAGTCGTAGTAAGGGCGTTAATTCAAACCACGAAGTATCACATCCACAACTCGTGACCTCCTAGTAGTTGAATTACAGGATGACACCACCGTCTCAGTCTCTTAATGATGTCTTAGCTAAGACTTGACCAAAGATAATGGTTGATTCCACCAAGAATAAGTTAAAAATTGTTGGCATTAACAAAATTCTCTGGATATTGACTATTTCCCAGATTTTTATTGACTCGCCATGTGCGTTTGGGCTTTGGGCCAGACATTCAGCACATCTGTGCCAAGACCTCTGGCATTCTCAAAATGATCTGCTGTGCAAGACACTGTTTGAGCATCCATGATTTTTGTATCCATACCTGCTATATATCCAGTATAATTTTTATGTGCGGCAACAACTAGGGTCTTCGGTCTTACTGTGTATTTTGGTCGCTTTTACCAGCACAGCCTTTTTCAATGTCTTAGGCCCCCAATACGGGAAGAATGAGCGTACGCCTTATATAAATTGTCCTTAAAGTAGTTCTCGTATGTCAAGAAGTTTACAACATAGATTTACATTGCAAGAAAGGGGATTAACCCCGTACCCACGGTGCTCATCTAAGCAGATACTCTGTTTACATTACACTTATAGTCCTCGCCACCCTAAGTTGAGGCAGCCCAAGGCCGCACGGCGTATATCTAGTGCGGCCTTTGGCTGCCTCAACTTAGGGTGGCGAGGACTATAGTCGACCAGTTGGTGTGAAGAGAGTTGAACAGTAGCATGAGTATCGATTTACAAATTCCTTTCCCAGCTGACGTGAGCCAGGCGATGACCGGTAGGGCTTACTTCCAAGAAACATCGTTAACCTATAAGTCAAACACCCAATCAGCCAATGAGAAGGCCTAATGAAGAAAATGGAGGGGTGAGGAGTCTCTCAGCTGGAGCTGGAGAACCTGAAGAAACAAATCGAGGAGTTCACCACGGGCCACTGGACCAAGAAGATCGAGAGTTTCGGAGTGTGTGTATCGGTGGTGTGCTTCTGGGACAATAAACAGTATGTAAAAAGAATAAAATATATAACTAAAGTTTTGTAAAACAAACAAGTCATATAGTTTGTCAGTAACTCATTCTTTTAAATTTTTAATTGATTTTCTTTTCTTGTAAATTATAACATTGTAAATTTATTTATCTTATTATTGTTGATCTTTGCCTTTTCAAAGTTTTCTTTTGCTTTACTTTTGTTGTTTTTCTTAATTTAATTTTGTTCATTACACGTTGAGCAACACCCTTAAGCAGTCTTATGTCTCATTAACCTAACACCTCTAGACAATGAAGTTCAAACATTTATTCAGAGGAAAATTCTTGAGTGATTTTATTGGGTTGGCTAAATAGAGTTTTTGATTCAACTTTTGAATTACTTATTTCATTTTTACAGTACACTCATTAGTCATTAAACACCAAAATTATTTTATTTTACTAGCTATATATTAACTTTGCTTCTTAAGATTGGCACTCGCATATATAATATAAATATAAATATCATTTTATCTTTATGTATACTCTTATGTATCTTTATGTATCTTTATGGATCTGAGACATGTACGAACAAGAACAATAAAAAAATATATCTAAAAAAAGAATATTTTATCTATAAAACTGTCAAAATAGTTAGAAGATCAAAATAAAATATATAATCATTTTTACATGTTTTCTTTACAAATTACAGAGAAGTTTACTGGTAAGAATTTTAACAAAATTAACTGCTATAGATAAATATAAGGTTTATTGGTAAAGTATAAAAACAGTACATAACAATAAAAGGCAACATATAATAATAACTATAGCTGCCCTGTACAGCGGCCAACCTTCTCCATAATATTTTTGTCCAGAGCTGGGGCTACATCTTTCTTCCTGAAACAAACATTTTAATCTTGGTAAAGAAAGTCACAATTTTAAAATACTCAGGGTAGCCAAATTATGCGGGTTGGTGTAGTTGGTAGTTTCAAATAAAAAGGTCTTATTTTACAATAAATTACCATAGGTACCCTTAACTAAAAGTTTTTAACTGGTTTATTCCGCCTACAAACGTGCGACACAAACTCGATCTTTGAGGGGCTTTCATTGCTTGTTAAAGACACATGTTAACCTCTTGCCACATTACCAAGAGTTATTCTTCTTGCTAGAAGAATAACTCTTGTTAATGTGGCAAGAGGTAGATATCTTCCTGAGGAGGATCTAATTGGGAAGCTACAGGCTTTTATCGGACGCCTTAACTTGTAACTTCAAGAAAACAACTGTATGGGGTGCGCAATAATTTTATTTTTGGATGAAGTGCTTTATGGTCTTGGCCTGCCCCTGTTAACAGTTTTAACAGGATCAGCAACAGGTAAATTAAACCTTTTATATTTTGTCTAGGCCTATATTTCCCTGATCAAGTTAGTGCAAAGAAGTTTTTGTTGAATAATAGTTGTAAAGGCTTTAATTTCCTGAATTGAAATAAGTACCTGGGGACCGAGCCATGGCATAGTTTATTTTGATTGTAAAAGCAATATACAGGAATGGATGCTTTAGAAGAATTTGAAATTTATAAAACAATCAAAATTCGAGCTAACACATTATTAAACGACAAAATCAGTTTACAGTCTAACGCTCTGTATGATACTCTAATAAAAAAACAAGAACAGCTGATGAACAAGGAGCCGAGCTATACAAAGTCCACTGCCCAACCATCTTCCGCATCGCAGTCATGACCCTCATCTGCAACTGTGCGCACAAGGTTGGGGTTGGACATTGTAAGTTTTTGTCAGTAAGCCTACTCGTTTTGTTCATAAAACGTCTGACTGTAAATAGTATATGTCCGTGTTTCGCATTTAAACTCTTGATGACCCTTTCGAAGTTACAGTGTTAAATGTTCTTGTACAAGATCTCATGATGAGGACTTAGGTCCTTAAAACCCGTAATCTATAAGGACTAAACAGGATCAATCTGGCAGTACTGAGGTAATTTTATACCTTTTATAGTTGGTTCATTGATCTTGAGACAAAACAACTCAAATATGAAAATGAATATTATGTTATTGATATATTTTAACGTAAACAGTAGGGCAATTACAATGTTGGTCATAATTGTTTTTATACAGTAGGCCAACATTTGGTGGCTTTTGTTCATAAATTCGGACTACTTAACAACTGTTTGGATTAGGCGGTATAGTTCATCTTCCCGTTGCGAAGAACGGGCACAGAAGCTAGTAAATTATTAAGTGATTTAATAAATAACTCTATATATAATATTTACAATAAACTATACCTTCAAAAATCTGGCTGTTTAACGGATGATATGGCAGACATACACTTATCTCACTAGGTGCTCTTCCTTAAGTTCTTTTACGGAGTACAGCGGCCTATAATTAGTATTCCTTTCAGCGCCTTCTGAAGGAGGGTGCATCCATCTCCTGCAAATGAGTAGGCAGTTATGAGTTGTAGTTAATAGTAGAACGAGGATAGCTATTCTAGGTACGTTTGAGACGACAGCAGGAAAAGTCTATATTTTGTGCTCTTCTGGTATAGTACTCCTGCACCCCAGTGGCGGATCCAGAGGGGGGGGGGGCAGTCGCAGTTTGGAAATATATGTCATATATTTTTGACTGCATGTAATACAGTAGTGCATACAAATTGCGTAAAATAATTTGTCACACTAACTTAGGACAAAGAAATGGTATAAAACTGCCATTTTTGAAGACTTAGTTTAAACAAATTTTTGGGGAGGGAGGGGGTACCCCCGAACCTCTCAGACACCCTGGTCCCCCCCTCCTTGTGACTGTTCTAGATCCACCACTGACTGCACGTCATCTTTTCTAGGGTCAGGATATCAAGCACTACGCCGTGAGTACCCTTAAGCTACATTTCCATTCCTACAAGTCGCAGGCACAAGTCGAGGCACATGTCGAGACCATGACGAGGCACATGTCGCACGTAGTTTGTCATGCCGTTTCCATTCCAGGCACAAGACCTGCGACTACAACTGGCAGACAAGGCAGTGTTCTCTTTTATTGTGATGCGGTGAGGTTCGGTGGCTGATTTTGATTATATTGTGTTCTACAAATCACCATGGATGACATAACAGCCTCTGCTTTTTTATTTATGGCTGGTGCATACAATGAACTTAGAAGGAAACTACCTAGATAGTGGATAAGAAGTTTTTTTGGCTAAAAGAGCATTGGAAGGTGCATTTAATCAATTGATGAGAGATTTGCGCGTACAAAGTGGCTTTGAAAATTTCCTCCAACGGACTCAACGAAATTTGAGGTTATGATTACCTGTCATTTATGAGCATGCGGTAGTTTGGAGGACCTGCGTATGCGCGAGTTGCAGGCACATGTTGCAGGCATATGTCAGTTCCTCAAGCCGTGCACGCGATTGTTAATACGCTCCTGGCCGTGCATACAATAGGTTGACTGCAAATAAAGTTATATATTCAGAATCTGCATTAACTCCAGAATCTGACAGTATAAATATAATCTTATTTAAATCGTAATTCGAATTTTAACAACTAAAAATGTTAAACAAATATCATAACTTGACATGAAAAAGTTACTAAGCGAGGATTTTTTATATTTTTTTGTCAGAAGCAAACTTCAAGCGACAAAATTGTAGCTAATGAGATGATCTTCAGCATATAACCAAGCAATTTCAAATAGAATTTTTTAGTCGTGTGTAATGGAGTAATTAGTAACGCAAAGAGGTTCTTTATAAATCGCGCCGCGGGCCGTCCTTCCTGGTTCCGCTGATCTTTATGTTTACGGTACTCCCAGAAACGTTTTGAGTACAATCAATAGTTATACTAAATACATTTTTAATACAGGTAACACATAAGTACATATGTGTTAGAAATGTGAACTGTGTTACAACTAAACTGTGTTACCTACAAATAACCCCCTTTGTTTGGTTGTAACAAGGGGGTTATTTGTATGCTTTGTTGGGTAATTAATGAGAACTTTCAAATATTAAGGTCCAGAGCAATTAATTAATAAGGTCATGAATACTAAACCTAGATGTCTTTAAGATGGCGAAGTTATTTTGTTTTCATTGCTCTTTATAATTTTAAGAGATCTATTGTTCAAGGCGTCAATGGGCAACTAACCTAAGTTTATCGCCATTCTACCGCATTATAACCCACCCTACAGGGCCCGGATTTTGTAGGTAGCAAATGCGCAACTAACCTACCGCCAGGGCAACGGCCATCAAAACATTTTTATATGTGATAATAAACCTTGTAGGTTAGTCTAAACTTAGTTGATACTACTAACAAATTGTTAGTACTACTAACAAATTGTTAGTACTACTAACAAATTGTTAGTACTACTTTATGGAAGTATCATTCTTCCTGGACTTATCAAGGGTCCGCCTTTAACTCCTATAGCTCAATCAACCATCTTTGGTTGGGTGTTATCTGGGCCATGTGGATTTTTCATCAATGACAATAAATCATCAATGTATCATTGCCTACTGGAGAACAAAGTAGATGATTTACTTCAGAAGTTTTGGGAACAGGAGGATTTTGCCAAAGATCCAGTTCAGGTTTTATCTCCTGAAAATCAAACGTGTGAAGAACACTTTCAATCAACTAGGACTGAAACTGGAAGGTATGTTGTTAAACTTCCTCTAAAGGAGTCTGCTGAAAATCTAGGGAATTCTCGAACATCTGCTCTCAACGTATTGAACTCAATGAAAAAACGTTTTGTTACTGATCCTAACTATCACAAACTGTATTCTAACTTCATCTCAGAATATGAATCACTTGATCATATGTCAAAAGTAGTAAGTGATTCTGTAGTAAATACAGAAACATTTTACTTACCTCATCATGGCGTCCTTCGGGATACCAGTTCAACCACAAAACTAAGGGTGGTTTTCAATGGATCACAGCGTTCTTCTACGGGTAAATCTCTAAATGATATCCTTCATACTGGGGAAAAGTTGCAAACTAATTTATCTGATGTCTTAATTTGGTTCAGACAATTCAAGTACGTCTTCTCTGCAGACATTTAAAAAATGTATCGGCAGATTATGGTTCATCCAGATGACTGGGACTTACAAAGAATCTTATGGTACGACAATGAACAACTTTGTACATATCAGTTGAAAACCGTAACTTATGGTTTATCATGTGCTCCCTTTCTAGCATTGAAAACAATGAATCAACTTGTAATCGACCATGGGAATCAATATCCATTAGGGGCATCTGTTCTTTCAAAAGGAAGATATTTTGATGACATATTTGGGGGTGCTGACACTATTGACGAATGTCAAGAGGTCATAACACAAGTCGATCAACTTTGCATGGAAGGATGTTTTCCATTACAAAAGTGGATAAGCAACAACCTTTCAACACTAACTTCAATATCTCCCGAACGGTATGTAAAAGAAGCTTCAATTTCAATCAAAGAATCAACAGCTGTAAAAACCCTAGGATTAACTTGGAAACCAGCAAGTGACGATTTTCAGTTCCAGATTGATTTCCAAACTCCAGTTCCGATAACTAAGCGAAGTGTTCTATCTCATATTGCAAAACTATTTGATCCCTTAGGATTTATCGCTCCTGTAATAATTCAAGCTAAAATATTTTTGCAGCAACTATGGTTGATTAAGCTAAACTGGGATGATTTTCTTCCTCCCTACCTGTTGGCACACTGGCAAAATCTTGAAGCTCAACTAAAAGACTTGTCTATTATATCAATTCCAAGATTTTTAGGTCTCACCAAATCATCTTCCTGCTGTGTGGAACTTCACGGGTTTTCAGATGCATCTTAGTCTGCAATGGCTGCTGTTGTGTATATTAAAGTAAGGTCTGAGTAAGGTATTTTTGTAAACATTGTTTGTGCTAAAACCAGAGTTGCATCTCTTAAGAAAATGAGTATCCCCAGACTAGAGCTTACAGCAGCATTAATGTTGGTGCGTCTTGCAAAATATGTCAGAGAAATTCTAGATATCAAATCTGCTCCATTGTGGTTGTGGACAGATTCTCGTGTAACTCTTACTTGGATTCAGAACCACCCATCCAAGTGGAAAGACTTTGTTTGTAATCGAGTTAGCATTATACAGGAAACAGAGCCATTAGCTCGTTGGAGGTATGATGGTATGTTCCTGGCAAAGAGAATCCAGCCGATTGCGCTTCACGAGGGTTGTCTCCTAAAGCTCTGGTGGACCACAAGTTGTGGTGGTCAGGCCCCTCGTGGCTTGTGGAAGATTCTGTAAACTGGCCCATGAGTTCCGACGAACTTGCAGAGGAAGCCGTGTCTGAGCAGCGCAGTCAGAAATCAACGTATTTATACCAATCTAAATCAGAACCTGACTTACTTTGTCGCTACTCTGATCTCAATAAGCTACTTCGGATCACAGCATGGTGTCGAAGATTTATCAATCACCTCAAGAAAATCGACAGTATAGAACACACTCCCTATCTGACACCCAAAGAATTAAATGATTCTTTACTACTTTGGACAGGTATTGTTCAGCTAGAAGCCTTCAATGAAGATCTGAAACTACTCACTAATCAGAAACCAATCAATAAGTTAAGTAAACTCTGCAATTTCACTCCGTTTCTTGATCAAAATAAACTTATCAGAGTTGGAGAAAGACTCAACCAATCCACTCTTGAGTATGACTCAAAACACCCACTCCTCCTCCCAAAAGATTCTAATCTTTCAAAATTAATAATATCTGATTCCCACCTTCGTACACTACACGGTAGTACAAGCATTACATTATCAACCATTAGACAACGTTTTTGGATTCTCGGTGGTCGTCCAACTATTAAGAAAGAACTACTACGGTGTGTCACTTGTGCTCGATACAGAGCTGAACGAGCTCAGCAACTTATGGGACAGCTTCCTACATCTCGAGTCACCCCTTCACGACCATTTCTCCACTCTGGTGTTGACTACGCAGGTCCATTCGTTATCAAGACTTGGCGAGGTAAAGCAGCAAAAACATACAAGGGATATAATGTAGTATTCATCTGCTAGTCAACATCTGCACTCCACCTCGAATTAGTCACCGATTACTCTGCAGAAGCATTCATTGCAGCATATAAGAGATTCACAGCTCGCCGTGGAATTTCTTCCACTCTGTCCAGTGATTGTGGTACTACATTTATCGGTGCTGATGCAGAACTAAAACGTCTATTCACGGCTTCAACAATGGCAAGTACCAAACTAAGAGATCTTCTAACTAAAGATGGAACATTGTGGAAGTTTAACCCTCCATCTGCTCCTCACTTCGGTGGTCACTGGGAAGCAGGAGTTAAGTCAGTGAAATATCACCTAAAACGGATTGTTGGTAATACTCAACTAACATACGAAGAATTCACTACCATTCTCACACAAATCGAAGCGGTTTTGAATTCGAGACCTCTCTGCAAATTGACTGATGATCCTGATGACCTATCTACATTGACTCCTGCACATTTTATTGTTGGTTCATCACTATCTACAATACCAGAACCAGACCTCAAAGAAGTACCAACAAATAGACTTTCAAGATGGCAGTTGTTGCAGCAAATGTTACAAAGTTTCTGGAAAAGATGGTCAAGGGAATATCTTCAGCAACTGCTAACAATTTATAAATGGAGATTTCCAAACACACAACTTAAAGTAGGATCAGTAGTCCTTATTACTGACGAACAATATCCTCCATCAAAATGGCCTTTAGCAAAAGTCATAGAAGTTCATCCTGGGCTTGACAATCTCATTCGCGTGGTAACACTGAAGACAGCTACTGGAATACTCAAAAGACCAATAGCAAAATTGTGCTCTCTTCCTGTCACAGAATAAAATTGCCCAGTTCCCTGTTGCAATTTGGGGGGGAGTATGTTAGAAGTACTCTATGTATACTCTCTACTGCCTGCCATTTGAGGATAAAATCATATGTCTTATTAATTGTTATGATCTATTTACTTACTTGTTTACATTTTATCAGTTTTGTTCTAAACAATGTCAATAAACCATCAATTGTTTTTCATCTCTTTTATTTTGTAAAATCTAATCAATCTTAATATCTATCATTAACAATAAGTATGTTTTATCTATGGTATGAGCACAGTATAATATAAATAAATTATTTATATTGTTAGACTGTGGTATGAGTACGATTGATAGACCATGAGCCACCAATAATATGAAACCCTCCCCCCCGTGGGTATTTATGACTTATACTTTTTTTTTTTGGTATTACCTACCAGATTAAGAATTCAGTTGTTTGCCTCTTTTAAATTACAGCGTATTCCGGAAAATAAAGAAAAACTGTTATTTTTTAACTGTTTTATTTAAATCACATAAGGGTAGGCAGCGTTAATTACTGGTGAAATATTTTTTATGGACTTCTTCAGTATGTATTCAAAGGCTTCAAATGAAAATAAAAAAAATAATAAAATACCCCCACTGCAGCAAACCTGCAGTCAATGCCGATTTCAAATTGGCCTGAATTGATTTTCAATTAAATCTATTTAACATTAGATTTAACGAGTACCTCTAGGAAAGAGATTTTAAGAGATTCTATTTAAATTAAATTAATTTTATTGAGAAATTGTTTACGTAAATTGTACTGGAATGTAAGGTTCCAGTAAAATTAACGTATAAAACTTCATTTTCCTCGTATCAAAATCGGATTTGCGACAGTAATTTTCTTTTTAAATTTCTTTAAAATAATGTGCTGATTGATATGGGTTGCCTTTACAAACATTTAAGTTACTCTTAGCAACCCTGTTTGTAGTTGGGGGGGTGAATTTCAAAATATCACCAATAAGAACCTTACATTACCCTAGAAACGTGTATTGAAGCTTGTTTGAATTTATGCATATTTGTGCTGAGACCATTCATTATTTAGCAGGTTAACCCGTTGTTCCTTATTTTTACCATTAGCTAGGATTTTTTTCCAATCCCGTGGGATCTTGATTTTGGACCTCTCATGTTGTATCTCTATGTTTCAAATGCTATGCATTTAATTATTTAATCATATGTTATTTTCAAAAAATGTGATTCAATTGATGTAAATAAACCAGTGACAAAATAAGGCTCATTTTTCATCCTACATTTATTTAACTATTTATTTCAAATATAAACTTACAATACATAACAGAAATGGCGACGAGGAGAGCCTAACGTGTTTTCTATTTGTTTTAAGAGGTGGCCGGAGTCAACCAAAATATCACCGTTTCACAGCGCCTTCAAATACAAAAATGCGGTAGCGCCACCATCGCCGCGGTCACTAGTAGGACTAAAAACCCTCAAGCTAATAGGAGAACACCACCCACCACCGGGAGCCGGTAACCAATATTGTAGTACGGTACAGTAAATACTAATTATATTTTGTGTCCTACTGCCTCATACTCGCGTGTCATACACTAAACACGTGGAGAAAAGACTCCTCTAAAAATTCTCGATTCACTTTTTTTAAGAATCGTTAAGTCATATTGATTTACATTTATAGATTGAATAACAACTATTCTTTGAATGTTATATTAGCTATAGAAACATATTCTGTAAATATACGTAAGAATAATATAATACAAATTTCTAATTACGTTGCTTTTCGAGTAAAAATAGCAACCTTGAAAATTAAAAGGACTGTAGTAAATTTTAACGACTCACTTTTACAATTCTATTAATTACCGTCGTAACTATTACAAGACCAGAGATGAGGTAAACCAGAAATCATATTAGTCCGTACGAGAAAATGGGGACATTTTTAAACATTCATCATAAAAAATTTAGTGAGATTTGAATCGTTTGTTATTTTAATCATCTATATAAATTGTTCTAAGCTTGTTTGCAATCTATTAGTTTTAAATTAGGCAAATATATTATTTTGAGAATTAGATTTTTACGAACGTTTATCATTTTAATTATCAAACATCCTACGACACCAGACATTGTGATGTTGAACTAATGAGGACCAATATCTGACTGTCTTCTAATTGTAACGGGGTTAGAAGTATGACTCACTCAGGGCCGTCTCCACGGCTGTGTCCCCAACTGAGCAGACACAATAGACCCAAGGGTTCGACTATTAGCACGGTCCAATGGTTTCCACATTGTTTGTGTTTTGGCATCCTATCTACTCAAGACTCAAGCGTGGCTGTACCCACCTTCCAAGCAAATCGACCTCAACGCCGCACTTCATGACCAGCTTTCTCCTATGTATCTGTCTTATATTAATTGTATAATCGGTGACATTATTTAAATACATTTTACATAAAGATCGAAATATAAAAGGGGAAAAAACTAAACAGATTTATAAATTTTTAAACAAAAATGATTTTATTTACTAAAGTAAACATATACAGAGAGAATATTTTATTTACAGAGTAAAATATACACCGGAGATAACAAAGAGAAGGGAAGGTTGGTATTGTAATAATTTCGAAAAAAAACCACGCTGATATAAGCCTGTGGACGGTTCAAAACTCAATAAAGATATAACACGATTAAAACAAACACTAATAAATATTAAAAAAATTGCATAAAATAATAATTGTCTTAGTGAAAAGCCTAATAGTAAACACAATTATAACAGAAATTGATAATAAAATGCAGACTATTTACAAAAATATCAAAACATACCAACTAAACATAAAATTTACATGGGATACGAGATAAAAATAGTGTAAAAAAACAAGGAAAATTTACATGGGATACGAGAATAAAAACAATATAAAACAAATACAAGGGAAAAACACAGGAGATAACAAAGAGAAAGTTAGGTTGACATTGTAATAATTTCGAAAAAAAACACGCTGATATAAGCCTGTGGACGGTTCAAAATTCAATAAAGATATAACACGATTAAAACAAATACTAATAAATATAAAAAAATTGCATAAAATAATAATTGTCTTAGTGAAAAGCCTAACAGTAAACACAATTATAACAGAAATTGATAATAAAATGCAGACTATTTACAAAAATATCAAAACATACCAACTAAACATAAATTTTACATGGGATACGAGATTAAAATAGTGTAAAACAAAAACAAGGGAAATTTACATGGGATATGGATATTAAAAAACCCTAATGAATGCCTAATACAAAAGAAAACTAAATACAAACAATCCCGCAACAAAGTGCATTACTGCATTACTGTGGCGTATTTTCTGGCTTGCGGGTTTTGCACAGACTTTTCTTTTTCATGACTGCTTTGGCCTTTGCTTCTTCTATGTAGGAGGGATTTCTGATCGGCATTGACCTGTTGTGTCGCGGGTCGATGATTTCTGGAAGAAGGCAGTCCTTGTAAAATCGCTGCAATTTTGGAAACATTTTTTCCTTCCAAAACTCGTCGTCACGGTCAACTTTGGCTATTTTTATCCCCTTTGGTGTCCATAATGTGAAATAGCAAAATTGGCGCCTAGTCACTCTCAGTTGTCCCTGTATTTGATAATAAAAATTATGGTTCCGGTTTATGTCACCTATTTCCCCATTTTTTTCAAGTGTCCAGAAGGTGCATTTCCTTGTCTTGATTGCGTCCTCTGGTGTTAAGTCTTTAGCTGATGATGGACACTTGATTTCCACAGTGGCAACATCACTCACCAGACCATCAGGACTTCCTCCAAGGAAAGGGTACTCACTGTCTATAAAAATTCCACACTTTAGCACATTTTCTCCGATTTCCTTTTCTAGGACTACTCTCGCTGTCTCTTCGTTGGTCCTGCCATATTGCATAGCTTCACAATCGACAACTGTGTAAAGTATTTGCTTGACCAACGACTCGCAACCAGTGGTTGGGCGCATTTTGCACACTCGTCCAAAGTTTGATGCCGTAAGAAGGCTCCTCCGCAGTTCAAGCCATTCGCTGCTGTCAGACTGAAGGACTGTTTCTCGCTCAATCCGGTGACGTTCTTCATCCGTTTTTTTTAGACTGGCCAGAAACTCTTCTGATTCTCTTTCCATGGTTTTCTCGTCAATATCCGGCCTTTGTGCGTTTAGTCCGTAATCAATTTCTTCATTCATATTGTTTGAGAATAAAGACTTGCGGCATCTCTTGCTGTTCCTCTTCTTGTCCATTTTCCTTTTCCTTTTCATTTGATTGCTTTTAGCAAAAGTACCGGGACTAGATTTATATACCGCCTTGTGAAACTTGTAGTGGGCTTGGCCGGAGTTGTACTGTACCACAGCAGCTGTACAGCGACCTTGATACGAACCGCTTAAGGCGAAATTAATTCGCTTTCCACCAACGAATTTCGCAACAATGGAGTTGAAGTGTTCAACATAGTTGCTCGTGACATCAATCAGCAAACTCCGGCTATGTCGACTTACATCTCTGAACACTTCACAGATCGCTGAATATAGTCCAACAGAGGTGAGCTGTGGTACTAAGTTGTTTGTTGCTGGAGCAGTTGTTGGGTCTTGTTCGCAGAAATATCCTCGTTCCTTACACTGTTTGTGTTCGCCAAAGATGTGGCTCGGAATATTGAGAATATCTTCCCTCAAACAATCAATCTTCTCGTTGATAAGTCGGTTTTCTGTTTTCCGGTAATCTTTAGCTTTTGTTACGGCCACCCTGCATCGCAATATGCTATCCCCAATTTTTTTTCGAAGGAGTACAGAGGACTTCTGTGTTTTGGAGCATGCAACAGCCTTCATCCTGGTACACATATTTCGAAGAAGATGGTTTTTACATTCTACTTTTTCGACCGTAAAATGTTTATATGGTCGGCTCTCTAATATTCTTTTATAGACACTACTGTCGCCATCTGCGATTAATCTAGCATACCGTATTTGATGCATTTCTTCACTTTTCTTGAACCCCTCGCAGATAATCGCTGCCTCCATGCTGGTCGAACTTTGCTTCATCCCCCAGTTTTTGTAGCATGTATGCGGTTGAGCTGCATCACCCTTTCCTTCGGCCCGTGCACAGGTAGTACAATATTTGTTCTTCACACCAAGGAAAATCACTTTTCTGGTTCTGAAACCCACGATTGCCGCCTGAAAAAAATAAGAACAAATATGTTGAAATAGTGAATAAAGAAGAATTGCTCATGGACGAAATGTAAAATTTGTTTTTAAAATATTCTAAAAAGTACTCTGTTACATTGATTTTTAATGGTTTGGTTAATTAAAATAATATGTTATGGAATGCTAATTTCATGAACTTTAGAAACACATTTTTATAAAAACACATTTTTGTATTTTTTTCTTTTAAGTACAATATCAATAACAATGCCAGTTCAACTCGGCACGGTGTTCGCGATAGCGTGTTAAAACGCGTAATAATATTTTTTATTAATGTAATTTTGTTTGGCTTTTACTAGCAGCCTGTGAAACTTCGTGACTTCTACATTCGTGATATATATTTCAATTAATTTACAATTTACTATTGCTCTGTACAACCACAAAATCAACGTAATTGATTTTATTATTTACATTTTATACAAATAAGAGCATAACAATATTTTACTTTAATTCACTAAAACATAACAAACTGTAACGATAACCTTATTTTCGTGTAGATTTAAACAAAATATTCTATCATGGACATCTGTTATGATGTAAACTAATGTAGGCCTAAACTTGTAAAAGTTCAGGCAATTGACAAAATAATTCAGCAGAAACTCTGAAATTTTAAAAGCCTACGAACGAATGGCTTTCACGGGATAACATCCAAACCCGCACAAAGTACATTTACAGGAGAAGAGCCTTAAACTGATAATCAATATGCCTATACAAATAAAATATTTAGGGGTCGATTTGCTGCACACAAAAATCCAACAAATTATTTAAGAATACAAAAATAATAAATAGCACTATAGCTGTAGGATAAAAGTGAAAGGTTAGATAAATAGCAATATATTGGATTACTTACAACGCCTGACAAGGAGGAGTAGTTTGTCCTGTACGATCTTTTGCACCAAGCCCCGTCAGCAACCACGGTGATAAGCGGCGTGCCGTCCTTATCAAGGTCGCCGTCCTCTCGCGCCAGCCGTGCCTCCTCTGCAGCCGCTGCTTCCATCTCCAACAACGCCGTTGCTGTCCAACCCGCTGACACCTTCTCTTCATACTTTTTAAACGTTTTTTGTGACATTGGTGGTATGTCGAGGACACTTAAAAACTCCTCTACCTGAGCATGACCACCGCCAGTTGTAACCGTCCCACAAACAGCACCAGTGTTCACATCCATCAGTTTTTCATTATTTAATTCAGTCCACAAAGTACTTTGGTAAGAGCACATTTTACATTTGACACCGAATCCACTTTTGATGCCGACCCTCTTCTCCGAAACTATTTCAAAATCAGCGAATTTGCAGCCAAATGGGCTGTGATTGTCCAACTGTTTTATTTGTTTAAAAAGGTCCCCAATATTCACTATTCTTCTACCACTAATTCTTGTCCCACACTCTTCATCATCCACACAGCTTACTTGTTGAAGCATACAATTAGTCAGATTTCCCCCTTCAAGCTGCTGATCTATAGAATTTCCATCTTCTGCTTGCCTTCTAAAACAAACACAAATTGAGTTAACATTTTATTTCTTTATTGATTTGTTCAAGTAAATACAAAATTCCATCACACACCCTACATCTATCAAATAAACCATACAGCCACATACTAAGTTTCATCCAAGTATATGTTCGATAGTACAAGCAATAATACAATTTGAATTATTCTCCACAAGAAAACATTTTATGAATGCCCATTGATGAATGCAATCATTGACTATATAACACTATGCAATTAATGAATGCCCATCTCCACTTGTCTTGTTTGATTTGTTCAATTTAGCAATTAATTTCATTCATGATATCCCCATGACATTTGAGGTCCGTTTATCAGACCGCGTTGTACCAGGGTGATAATTTAGAGATGCAAACATGTAGGCCTAAACAAAACAATTACAGTTTGTAGTTAGAACTATTCTTTATTATAACAAATGTATGTTTTTTTAATGAATTGAATTAGGAAATGAATTTTTCAATTATCAATTATCAATTATGAATTACCAGTACTGTAATTATTTTATAGCGTACACAATTATTTGGGATGCGGAATTATGTAAAATGTTTTGTTCAAGTCATGTTCAGTTTGGCAGTAGGCTAAACGTTTTCTAAGTTTTTATTAAATTTATATTCATTGCTGTACAAATGTCCTGAATCCCGGATAAATGGAACGACGTAAGATCGTGGAATTTGTACATGTACCGTTCCATCCGCGTTGGGAAACAAAAGAGTCAAGGGTAGGGGTGAAAGTGGATGTCTATTGTTTGGCGTACGGTGACAGTGAAGCGACTTTACAGCCGTGAGGTTCTTGACCTAGACCTAGTCGAGCCTAGAGCTATAATGGAAAAGCGCGCGAAAAAAACACCTACGCCCTGACCTCAGTCGCTCAGTCACACTGACATGCGACATGCGTTGATACAACAATGTTGTGTGTACATTACATGACGACTGGAGAGGACATGGTCCTAAAACAGCTTCAGTCCAGTGGTGTTTGGCTCACTAGAGTGAAACTTCACTAAACTAACTAACTTAATTAAATGTTCATAATTTGACTTCAGAATTGATTAAATTATATAAATCAAAATATAAGGTCAAAAATAGTTTATACATAACATTTTCAAATTATTAAAAGTTTATACTGAAGGTGTGTATTTCATGTATAAATTAAATTTAACGACGGCAAGTGCTTAAGTTATATGAATGATTATGTTTGACGATTGGCGATAAAAAGGATTTTAAAATGGGGTTGAAACCCAGAAACTAGTCATCCACAGCATCCCATAAGGGCTATAAATAATTCACAAATTACAGCTTACCTTCTCTTTTCATTGTACTGAACTAGTGCTGGGTTTAATCTTCTTTTCTTGCGATGAGCTGATAAGGTGAGTCTCGCTTTTCCCATTTGTACACAATAAAACACTTTGTTGAACAGTAAAACAACTAGCCTATTTATTTAAGGTGATTACTACGGCAAAACACTAGAAAAATATTTATTTACAACACTAGACTTATAAAACATTTATAATATCATTAAAAACTACTACGCTTTTAATGCAACTATAATTATAACAGGCAAAATATTAGCACGTCTCTTCACAGTAGTCGGTCACGCACGAATGAATAATGTTGTGAACATTCAAAATTATATTCTTAGCGCCACCAATGGAGCCTATTTGACGTCATGACAGTAAGCGACGGTGGTGCTATCCTTCAGCCCTTCACGGCACTACTACGACACTATTTATTTCGAGAGCGTTCTCCGCCTACTACTACTTGATGAGGTGAATTCATAAAACTGAATTTAAACATGTTTGGAATAAATTATCATCCATTTTTTTACTATAGAGACCTTCCCCATGAAATTATCTTTATAATGGTATAGTTTTCAAAAAAATTTACAGTCGCAGGAAAATATAAACCCCTACCGCGTTTACGAAAAATATCGGAGTTTCTTATGGGTACATTGATCTTAAATAAAAATTATAGACCGATAATATTGACAGATAATAAAAAAATCAACCTTCCACTACCGATAGGACACTAAGTGCTCGGTTTCTATAGAGAAAGTTATTTAGATTCGTGACAGGTACTTTTTAAAACGCAGTTTTAAGCAATTCCCCCGTGTTATAAGTGGTGGCAGCGGCGTAAGGCCTGCGGCTGACTCCTGCGCCCTCTTAAAGTTTATTTTATATATTTTTTTCAAAATGAACCAAGAACAGTTTGAAATATTAATCAAGACCTTGTCTTCAGCTATTCAAGGTATGTCAAAGACTCAACAATCCAACATCACATTAATTTCCAATTTCGAACAATTTGACTCAAACAAAGAAACTTTTCAACTATACAAAGAAAGATTTGAAAATTACCTAAAGATAAAGAATGCCTTTGATGATAAAACTATTTGTGTCCAGCTTTTTCTCAATAGTGTAGGTTCTAAAACATATGACCTGTTGTCTTCACTCTCAGCTCCAAAAAGTATTAATGAGCAAACCTATGATGAAATTACAAAATTATTAGACAATTACTTTCCAAAAACCAATTAAATTGTAGAACAGCATCAGTTTTTATCCAGAATCCAGGCACAAAATGAATCAATAACAGACTATGTAACAGCTCTTAGGAAACAAATTGCAACTTGCAAACTTACCTGTACATCATGTGAAGCATCTGTATCTGACTTATTCTTAAGATCACAGTTTATCAGGGGAATTCATGACTCTTCAATTAGAGAACAATTAATCCAGACCAAGGACTTAACATTTGACATTGCCGTAGAAAAGGCAATAGCAATTGAAGCTTCAAAAATAGACAGTGCAACTCTGAACAACTTTTCTAGTCCTCAAACATCGTCACAGGCAGAAGTCAACAAGTTATTGACAAGACCAACACACCAGAATTATACACCAAGAAGGACAGCCTACCTCAACAACAGATCTAACAACAGACTAAATCACCCTTCCACAAGACAAAATAAGGTTGATTTGGCAACACTTGGAATTGGAAACCTGTGTTTAAGATGTGGTAGAGCAAATCACATGTCCAGGGAATGTAAAACCAACATATCACGCCTTCACTGCCAAAGCTGTGACAAGGATGGACACATAGCCAAGGTCTGTATATCAACTCTACTCTCTAAGAAATCCAGGCCTACAGTTAATACAATAAGTATTACTCCAAATGATTCACAGGACTTAAACTCACTTTATGGAATAGGGCAACTTCAAATTCTCAATGTAACTGACTACAATTCATCAGACACAGAAAAATTTTTCACAACTATTCTAATCAATGGGAAACCACAAAAGTTTGAGGTAGATTCAGGCGCAGCTCATACCCTTCTACCAAAGGCTCAATTTGATAGACTTAATCTTCCTCAAAACACAATCCAGAATACAAATATAAGGTTTCGTTCTTACACAAATGAGGTTTTCCAACCCTTAGGCTTAGTTAAGGTTCAGGTTGAATACAATGGACGCTCATCTACACAGCAGTTGTTTGTAGTTCCTGACATGTACAGCCCTCTACTAGGTAGGACTTGGATAAGACAACTTGGAGTCCACTTGAACGATCTTGACACCCAGAGACCAAAAGATACCGGTACTTATGTAAACTTAGTTTCCAGTGACACAGACAAACTAGTTACTGTAGTGGAATCAAGATTTCCAGAAATATTTTCACCAGAAATATATTCCTAATGTCACCTGCTCTCTTAAGTTAAGACCTCAATCCAAACCAGTATTTTTCAAACCTAGACCTTTACCGTATGCACTCCGGGATAGAGTGGGACATGATCTTGACAAACTGGAACAAGACAAAATCATCACTAAAATCGAATCATGTGACTGGGGTTCACCCTTAGTTGTAGTGCCAAAGCCTGATGGTACACTTAGGCTATGCGCAGACTATAAAGTCACAGTCAACCCTCAACTCTACGATTCACACTATCCGATTCCTAGGATCGACAAAACGCTCCACAAACTGAGAAACGCCAAGTTTTTCTGTACTCTCGACCTCTTTAAAGCTTACCTACACATAGGTGTCGATGAAGAAAGTGCTTGTGTTCAAACAATATCAACCCATAAAGGTACTTATGGGTCAACAGATTGTCTTTTGGAATCAAGACTGCACCCAGCATATTTCAAAAAGTAATGGAACAAGTTCTACAAGACCTCCCAGGTGTCAGCTCTTACTTTGACGACATAATTGTCTACGGGTCAACTTTGGATGAATGTTTCAACAACCTTGTAGCTTGTCTGGAGCGACTTCAAACCAACAATCTTCACCTCAACAGAAATAAATGCACATTCTTCCAAGAAAGCATCACATACTTAGGATATGTTATTGAAAATAACACGATATCCAAGTCTCCAGCAAAAGTGTCAAATATCCTCAATATTCAAAGACCAAATTCAGTAGAGGAAGTGAGAAAGTTTCTAGGACTTGTAACTTATTATTCAAAATTCATTCCAGCAGCTTCTACCATAACTTACCCTCTACGCCAGTTACTCATCAAGAATAAACCATTCAACTGGACAAAAGATTGTGAGAAAGCGTTCATCAACATCAAGAAGGAAATAGCCTCAGATAGAGTGGTAGTTCCTTTTGACCCAGACCTTCCAGTATCCGTAGCCTGCGATGCAAGCCCACATGGGATCTCAGGAGTACTATCACACATTATCAATGGAGAAGAAAGGCCCATTGCATTTGTCTCCCGCTCACTTTCAAAATCAGAGTCCCAATACAGCCAACTTGATCGCGAAGCACTCGCTATTGTATTTTCTATTGGAAAATTTTTCAACTACCTCTATGGAAGAAAGTTTGAATTGATCACAGATAACCAACCACTCACACGAATATTTCACCCAAAGAATGTTCCTCCAATGACAGCTGGTCGACTTTTACGCTATGCAGTTTTCCTCAGAGGATTTGAATACAACATCAAACATCGGAAAGCAGAACAACACCAAAATGTAGACTTTCTATCCAGGACTTTTCAAACAACGGAACATCGTGGTATCGACACGGCACTGAATAAAGAAGAAGATGAAATAGAACAGAATTCAATCCTTCAAATCTCATCAATCAACATCACGAGTGATTCAATTTCAAAAGAAACTGCGTACGATCCAGGAATGAAAGATCTTATGAAACAAATAAAAGAAGGTGCAAATGATCCAATCTACTCAACCAATCAAGGAATTGTATTCAGAGGAGAACGTGTATACATTCCAAGATCACTACGCTCTCATGTTTTAGAAGAGCTTCATGCAACACACATAGGAATGGTAAGAATGAAGCGACTCGCAAGACTCCACTGTTATTGGCCCGGAATTGACAAAGACATTGAAAATAAAGTTCGATCATGTGCAGCTTGTGCTTTACAGTCAAAACAGCCAACAAAAGTTTTTCACCCTTGGGAAATCCCTAAGGAAAACTTTGAAAGAGTTCACATGGACTACGCAGGACCATTTAATGGACACCATTTCCTAGTAGTGATTGATGCAAAATCTAAATGGCCTGAGGTTCGAATAACCAAAAACGCACCATCCACAGCTATGACAATAGAATTTCTAAATGATATCTTCTCTACACATGGATATCCTGCTGTACTAGTTTCTGATAATGCCACTATTTTTACTAGCCAAGAATTTACAGACTTTTGCCGACAAAGAGGCATATTTCAAAAATTTATCGCCCCAGGACACCCAGCAACCAATGGGTTAGCGGAACGCTATGTGCAAACGTTAAAGACATCTTTGAAAAATTGTGCTGAAGATCCTCGAAAGAATATTAAATCACAAATTCAAGACATACTGTTTCGCTACCGAGCTGTACCTCTACAATGCGGACAATCACCGGCTGAACTGTATTTAAATCGAAAGATCAGAACAAAACTAGATGCTCTCAAACCCCCTAAGAAAAACACATCATTACATCCAGGTTTTCAACAAGTAAGCCGCTCATTTAAAGTGGGGGAGAGAATATTAGTACGTTCCTTAGACGGCTGGAAGTTCGGAAAAGTTATTTTTCAACTTGGAGCTCTGCACTACAAAGTCAAACTGGACAACGGTTACATTGGCAAGAGACACATCGATCAGTTGAAGAGAACATCAGTGCCAGAAACAAAAGACAAAACACACTCCAGCTCATCTCCTAAAGAAAATACCAGTTCGCAGCAACAGAACATGACATTCAAGGACAATGATCTAGAAAATATAGAAATCAGGCTTCAACGCAGAGAAGATAGCAATGATCAACTTGAAAATGCAGAAATCAGGCTTCAACCCAGTGAACATAATAATCCTCAAACAGATGACAATGCTTCAACAGATGTTCCTCGCAAATCAGCCCCCTTCTCCCTTTCAATGTTTTTAATAGATACATCTAAATAGGTATCCGTAATAAAGTATATCCTGCTGAATTTCGGAAAACGGCTGAACGCAATCTGTGCTAGTTCACCAGAGGTTTCTGGAATATTAGTAAGAACCTAAAAGTAAGCTGTTCTGTATGTAATTAGAACTAATAATAAATGTATTTGTAAAAGTACAATTTTAACCAACTTTATTCAACACAAATTAAAAACAAAGTGAAGAAGTAAACATTATAACCAGCTGGTGATAGTTATAAAATAAATAATCAATAAGTAAAGATAGACATTTAGGATGTAACACTTCCCCTTCTTAAGTGAGCTTCATAAATTGAGTCTATCCACGGGTTTATGTGTCCTTTTTGAACGTCTCACTGTAATAGCGGGAGTTGGTGCCACTGGAACATCTGATATGTTGTGATCGTTGGCCTCTGGAACATCTGATATGTTGTGATCGTTGGCCTCTGGAACATCTGGTATGTTGTGATCATTTGTTGCGTGGTTTTCGGTTGGTTCCTCTCTGACTCCTCCAAAATGGACTCCTCCAAAATTTGTTGGTATGAATACTTGATTTTGCTCATTCCTTAATGAAAACTCACACAAGTTTCGCCCTGAACGTCTAATTTGGTCTTGATGACGTCTGATTGTGCCACTGCTTGTGGATATTTCATAATTTCTTGGTCCTTCTTTTCTATTGATCTTTCCAAAGCCCCATTTGTTGCAGGTCCCATATAGGCGGTAAGCAACAGGGTCTTGAGCTTTAAATGATTTTTGCCTGTCAGAAATCATTTAAAAAAAAAAAAAAAATTTTGAGTCAAAATTTTGGTCCATTTTTTGTGACAAATCAGGATACAATAAGTCAAGTCTTGATCGAATTTGACGTCCAATAAAGAGATGTGAAGGAGACTGTCCTGTAGTACTATGTGGAGCTCTTCGATAGGCCATTAAATATCTCTGTAATTTCAACTCAATTGAGCCTTCCTCAAAGTGCATGGCTCTGATAGTATCTTTCAAGTCTTGTACATAGCGTTCTACTTGGCCATTAGTTGCAGGATGGTAAGGTGCTGATCTCTTGTGTCTAATTCCGTTAGATTGAAGAAATTTTTCAAACTCTAACGAAACAAATTGCCTTCCGTTGTCTGACACTAATATGTCAGGGATTCCAAAAGAGCAAAAGAATTTCCGCAAAGCCTCAATGGTTTTATGTGAATTTATAGTTGTAAGTGTTACAATCTCTGGCCATTTACTGTAGGCATCCACAATTAGGAGAAAATAATGGCCATAAAATGGTCCTGCAAAATCAACATGAACTCTTTGCATAGGCCTTGAAGGATATTCCCAGTGGTGAACTGGTGCTTTGGGTGCTTCATGTTGTACTCGTTGACATCCCAAACAATTTAAGGTCATATTCTCAATGTCTGCATCAATTTTAGGCCACCAAACATACGAACGAGCTAGTCCCTTCATGCGAACTATACCCACATGAGCCTCATGAAGTTCTTTCAAAATTCTTGGACGAAGTTGTTTGGGAATCACCACACGATTCCCTTTTAATAAGCATCCAAGCTGAATTGACCATTCTTGTTCGTTAGAAGACATCGGGTGATGTATTGGCTCCCCTCTGATTAGTGATTGATAAATATCTCTAAGATCTGGATCAGATTGTGTATTTTTTGCTATTTCTTCAGCTGTGACAGGTAAAGTATAGATTTGTTCTATTTCATGAACATCGGCTGAGTCAATAACAGCAGCTTCTTCAACATTTTTAGGTAGTCTTGAAAGTGCATCAGCATTAACATTATCTTTGGTTGATTTATACTTTATGTCAAATGAAAATGCCTGAAGGAATATAGTATAATGTTGTAGTCTTGTTGCGGCCATAAGTGGTATTCCATTTTTCGGTCCAAATATTGATACCAGGGGTTTGTGGTCTGTAACTAGGGTGAAATGACGTCCATAAAGGTATTGGTAAAAGTGTTTAACTCCAAAATAAATTGCCAGGGCTTCTTTTTGTATGACACTGTACTGTTTTTGTGTTTGTGATAGTGTTTTGGAAGCAAATGCAACAGGTCTTTCGTTTCCATCCGGAAACACATGAGAAAGAATTGCCGAAATTCCAGATTGACTAGCATCTGTTGCTAGAATGAGTGGTAAGTGTGGGTCAAAATGGCATAGTATATTCTCTGACATCATTTCCTCCTTCACCAATTGAAAATCTCGTTCACATTCTTCAGTCCAATTAAAAGGTACATTAGCTCTTGTGAGATTAATAATAGCTTGCATCTTTTCACTTAAGTTTTGAATAAACTTTCGATAGTAACTTATCAACCCAAGGATTTGTCTAACTTCTTTCACATTACTTGGTCTCTTCAGGTTTCTTATTGCTTCAGTAATATGTTTACTTTTACTTATTCCCTTTGACGAGACATGGTAACCAAGAAAGTCAATCTCTGGTACAAGGAATTGAGATTTAGAAACATTAATGTGTAAATCGTTGTCTTTGAACCGATTTAATACAGCACGGAGTCTTTTCAAATGTTCTTCCTCACTGTGGGCTGTTATTTTGACATCGTCAAAGAAAACATCAACACCATCAATACCTTGTAGAATATTTTCCATTGCTGATTGCCAAATAGCAGGTGCACTTGCAATTCCGAATGGTAGACGATTTACTCGATATAGACCTTTGTGTGTATTGATTGTGAGCAATTCTCTGTATTCTTCTTTCACTGGCATGTGTAGGTAAGCTTCGGATATATCAATCTTTGTAAATTTAGTCGAATTACCCATTCTGGCCAAAATATCATCAATGCGGGGCATGTTGTGTTCTGGTATTACCAAATGGGGATTGAGGGTTACTTTGTAGTCTCCACACAGTCTGATATTCCCATTTGCCTTCATAATCGGTACAACTGGAGTAGCCCAAGAACTCTGAAATTATACCTTCTTTTTCTAGTCTGTCGATTTCTGCACTAACTTTTGGTAACAAAGCATAAGGTAGTGGTCTAGCTTTTTTAAAAACTGGTGTAGTGTCAGGCTTTAAGTTAAGAAGTGCTTCTCCCCCTTTGAAACTTTGAGAACTAATAATAAATGTCTATCTTTACTTATTGATTATTTATTTTATAACTATCACCAGCTGGTTATAATGTTTACTTCTTCACTTTGTTTTTAATTTGTGTTGAATAAAGTTGGTTAAAATTGTACTTTTACAAATACATTTATTATTAGTTCTAATTACATACAGAACAATTTGGCGACGATGGAGGTGAGTACAAGTAATTCAAATACATCTCAAAACATTCAAATGATTAACTCAGCATTAATTGGACCCTTTAATGAAAGATATGAAACATGGGAAATGTATATGGAAAGACTAGAGATATCATTCATTTATAACAACATTTCGGAAGACAAAAAGAAAATTACGTTACTTCACTGTATTGGATCAGACACTTACAGTAAACTTAGGGATATATTGCATCCTGTATCACCTATAACTAAATCCTATGCTGAATTAGTTCAAACTCTTAATTCACATTTTACACCAAAACCAAATGAAGTATCAGAGACATTCAAATTTCATTGTAGACACCAATATGAAGGAGAAAACGTTTCTGAATTTTCATTGGATCTTAGAAAGTTGTCTAGATATTGTAATTTTGGCACATTTCTGTCAAAAGCCCTGAGAAACCAATTCATACTCGGGCTAAGGGATGAAAAAATACAGGCAAGGTTAATTACTCTAAGTGACAGTGATTTGAGTTTTGAAAAAGCTGTAGACATGGCTCAAGTAATTGAAAAGGCTCAAAACGATTCAATAACAATCCAATCAAAATTCAATCATGAAAACAATGAATTGCCGGTTAACTTAAATGTTGTACAACAGAAAAGTTTTCAAAAACCTAAAAACAGTACCAATCTTAAACAATGTTACCGTTGTGGAGAGTTACATGAATACATATCTGAATGCAAACACAAAAATACAACATGTAACTTCTGTAAAAAAATAGGGCATCTAGCAAAGATTTGTTTTAGGAATCCTAATGCACCTATCAAATTGCAAAGACAAAATAAGACTACATTTAACACTACTTCAAGAAATGTAAAACAAATAACAGACTCGTTTGAAGATCAAAGTGAAATATTTAAACTACAACAAAATATGAACAATTCTGTTAGATCCCTCTATAAGGAAACTAATGTTATTGACATTTGTTCTATGAATACATCAGAAGATAAATTTAGGAAAATAATGTTAAACATAAAAATAAATGGGAAAACTATTCCGTTTGAACTAGATACAGGAGCAGGGGTATCTTTGATGTCAAAAAGTAACTTTTCCAAGTTTTTTCCAAAACACAGACCTTTAATGAATCCAGACATAATATTAAGAGATTTCAACAAAAATGAATTTGTTCCATTGGGTAAAACCATTGTTCAGGTTGGTTACGGTAATCAAACCAAATATCTTCCATTGTATATAGTCGATGGTAATAGAGATACGATATTTGGTAGGGAATGGCTGAGATCGATTAAAATAAATTGGTCAGACATAAATAACATTCACGGAGCTGACTTGAATAGAGTTAAACACTCAAATCCCAAAGTACACGATATTTTAATGGAATTTAAATCCATATTTGAACCAAGAGTTGGAAGTTTCAAAGGGGGAGAAGCACTTCTTAACTTAAAGCCTGACACTACACCAGTTTTTAAAAAAGCTAGACCACTACCTTATGCTTTGTTACCAAAAGTTAGTGCAGAAATCGACAGACTAGAAAAAGAAGGTATAATTACAAAGGTGAATCAGAGTTCTTGGGCTACTCCAGTTGTACCGATTATGAAGGCAAATGGGAATATCAGACTGTGTGGAGACTACAAAGTAACCCTCAATCCCCATTTGGTAATACCAGAACACAACATGCCCCGCATTGATGATATTTTGGCCAGAATGGGTAATTCGACTAAATTTACAAAGATTGATATATCCGAAGCTTACCTACACATGCCAGTGAAAGAAGAATA